ACAGGAGGGCTAAACATAAAGGAGGTAGGCAGATTCCAAAAGCAGGAAAGCATAGTATGCTTTCTGTAAACTATCATTACATCGCACCCGCCAACCGCCAACCATTCTTTACATGCTCCTTTACCCTTCCAGTTAACACGTTAACTTTAAAACGAGCTTTATTTGCTGGTTACTTGTAATTGCGACAAACCCAAGGCAAGTTACACATAATTTTCTTTATTTTTGGCTATTTTCACACCATCCAGGTTCTTGTAAAATATAATTAATCTTCTTCCTGACAAGCCTGAATCGCAATTGCATGAGTTAGTTTTTTTTAAGACGTCACTAAATTACACAACAAAGTTTGATCATTCAATCACTCACAAAGCCTAACCTCTTTGAAGGAGTAGAACTACAGCCTTGTCTCCAATCCAGGTATTCCTAATGCAGAAAGTTCATTTTCCTTCAGTAAAGCTAAGATGGAGCTCCCTTCCCCAGCACCATTACTATCGTGTGGAGACAAGGCAAGTAATTAACAACTGTGAGCTCTGCACAGCCTCATTAGCTGCACAGCTCTAGGAGTGTTCCACAAGGTATTTTTAAATTGCACCATGACCATCTTTACTCCGACAACCGAATTAAAAGCCACTCCTTATTAAATTGCTAAATGGAGTTTTACTATTTCTACAGTGTCTTCAAATGGTTGTTACACTGCCAGAAAATCTCGACCGATTATATCCCGAAATGTAAAATTTTCACTTACAAAATAACAAACTCATCCCATCAAGGTATAGATATATCGAGTTATGCTTGATGTTACGAAGGCTATATTTAATATGTGCATGCATTATAATCTTAGGCTGGCTGTGGTAACTTTTAAGATTTATTGGTAAGGAATAGAATTTGTTTGGAGCAGAATTAAGGCAGGCACATCTTTCTTTTTATGGAAAGTTTTAGTATAAAGAACTTAAGTAATGTTAAATATTCCTTATCAAATTATGCAGCTTCTTATGCAGGAATTACAGGGGTTTTGGAAATAAATCTCTGTGAGAGCAAATATCAAAGTTTAACGTAGTTGCTATGGTGTGGTATTTCACAGAGCACAGTCCAGTCTGATTTGCAGCACATACATAAGAACCGCTGCAACAGAAAGCCCTTCAGCTGGTTTTTTCCACTCAATAAAAAAGAGTCCTGATGAAGCACACAGGTAGGAAATTTTGGAAAGTGTGAATGAGACATGAGCATCTGATTAACAGAACAACACAGAACTGTAATTTTACCTCTAACTATAGAGAGGCTTTTCCAAACAGAATATGCCATGCTTACAGACTCCAACATCAGTCCCTGAGCATCATAATCAAAACCCTCTGTACAGAGCCAAGGATCTCCGATAAAAACGAATATAGGAGAGTCTATTCTCTGTCAGACAAAGAGCCATTAGCAATAAACATGCAGCAGGGGAGGGGGGGGAGTAAATAACATTCCATAGAAACACCAACGAAGACCCCAAAGCCAGTAAAGCAGACTGGCTCGCAGGCTGCCTACAGCAAGAACTACAGAATCAGCAGAACAGTCTCAAATGATAACCTGTTCTACCCAAAATCCCAACACATTTGACTTCGAAACACTACGCCTTATGAGGCAACAAACCACAAGTTATTTCTGAGCTCAAAGTTAGAAGGGCAAAACTAGAGAAAAGCCTCAGTTCAACTAAGGTAACCTTTTTAATGAGCTGCAGCCAACATAGATAATCCATCACATAGAAGTAACCCTTTATTTTCCAATTAACTCTGGTTGTTTTCTAGCCAAATTAATTTTCCAAGTCAGCTGCAGCAGAAGAGATGAAAATGTAATTTTATAATGAAAGCTAGCACCCAGGGTAATCACAAGACAAGCTACTGTTTCTCCATTGCAGAGCCTTCCTTCCACAATCACCAACACAGGCTGACAAACATTCAGTTACATCCAGCAGAAGAGCATGAACTCCAATGTAGTTTTCCAAAAAACAAGGCAAAGCCACTTGTTCATATCAATTTAAGAAACCTTTTCAAAAACAAAGCAACAAGAAAAAAAACACAAAAAACCAAAACAAACAAACAAAAAACCCAAACCAAAACACACACGCAAAAAAACCACCACCACCAACAAAAACAACCTGGATTTAATGCTACATTTGTCTCATCGTTACGAATTGAAAGGTACAAATACAACTTTAAAGTGTTATTTGATATTCAGGTTTTTACATTACCATTTAAGCTTTTGTTCTGTGAAGATTTCTGTGGCTTATGAGGAGGAGAAAACCTTGCAAATGTAAGTGACATAAATTCACAGAAATCTATTTCAGTTATTTTATTCAGAATACCGGGTTATAAAACCACACTGAATAAGAACAACTCTCACAGTACTGCTCTTATTAGCTTTTTTTATTTTATTCCAAGTCCTATCCATCTTACAAAAAAACTCCAGCACATAGATTAAAATCCACTGTACATTCTAACTAAACGCATTAAAATCACAGAAAGGGATCTCCCAGGTCTTCACTAAATTACATCTGGCTCTCCCTTAATAGCAATTACAGCTCTTATCTCTGTAAATTCTACCAGGAGGTTACTTGGGATCCTCCTGTCCTAACAGTAAGGAATTCCCTTCTAACTTCCAAATGGGTAGGTGGATGGACAGCCTGTATCAACCTGCATTAATGTAAGAATTTCCTCTTAAGTCTCTAACACACACATTTACAGAGAGCAATCAGAACGGCTTCTTCCTGCTCCAGAAAATATTTGTATATAGGCATTAACAGGAAGAGCTGCCTCTGCATCAGCTCTATCAATCACACAGCCATGCAGCAAGTCAAACAGGAACCTGATACGACCGAAAACTAACCCAGCAGAAGAACTAGTTCTCTGTCAGATCAATGCGATCCTTTCAACAGCTGCCTGTTAGAGCAGATTAAATGTAGCATGAAACCGCACACCAGGAGTTGACAGAGAACTAGCTAGCCACCTTAAAAATAAAGCAAACATGGAATAACATCTCATAAGAAGCACTCCTTAAAGCCAGCATTTTCTCTTTAGGCACTTGAATGTCCCAGCCATCACAAAGGAAGCAATGGACAGGGAAAGAAGAAAAGCTATCATTTGAAATTCACACCATGTGGCATTGGTTTTCAAAACAGTATTTGGCTAGACACAGATGAGCTAGAAGAAAAGTTCACATTCTCACAAAGAGCAGAACTTCTCTAACCTGCTAAACCCACAGATGAAGACAGCGCACATGACTAACCATGATTTTCATTTTATGATCATCACCAAAACCTTTACATGCCCCCTGAAACAGACCATCAGAATCATTCTGCACCTGTGCTTTAGTTGCCATACGATATAAGGCCTGTTCTGTTGGGAAGTGGTGTGATAAACCATCCCGCTGTACCTCACCCTGTGTACCTTTCCTCCTGCAATACTGCCGTGGTTTATACAGTTGCTCTATCAGCCGATACCTCCTCCCTGTCCGGGAAGAGGAGTCAGGAAAAGGAAAGGAGATCTGTAGGTTGAAATAGATACAGATTTAATAAAACAATAATAAAAACTAATACTAATAACAGTATGCATATAAAGTACACAGAATTGTATCAGCCAGTATTGTGGGGGAGTAGGCCTCAGGGGTAGGACAGCAGACAAGCCCCTCTTGAGATGACAGCCACAGAAGGAAGAGGGAAGAAGAAGGAGGAAGAAGGGCTGTCCCCAGCAAACTCCCCAGTTTATAGTGAATGTGACGTTTATGGCATGGATTAGCACCAACTGGCCAGCCTGGAGTCAGCTTGGGATCAACTCCCCTGGGTTTCCTTTTCCCGGGGCCTCTGTACCTGTTTATCTCAAGACTGCTTAAGGCCTTGATCACCACATACCAGCATTAGCTGAAAATTGTAACAAAGTCCTATCACTTTGTTCCCATGAAATAGCGTCGTAGTCCTTGCAAAATCGCAGTTTTCCTCAACAGAAAACTGACTCTCAAATTCTGTACCACTGAACTAGGACAAATGTCCACAAAGATGCTTCAATATGTTGTTATTTTTCTCATTCAACTGGCAAAGGGCTGTTGTAACTGAACCCATCCCTGAAGACACAAGCCAGCTCCTCAAGGAGAGGAATGTAGAGCTTTCCATAGGTGAAGGGCTCTGTTTCAGCAAGTGGTAACTACTCATGTTCACAATGCAATTAATGCTGGCATAGCAGATGCAAAGGGACATAAATTGTTGCCGAACCAAGTTCAGACTGTATCATTCTCCTCTACCTCAGATATTAAAAAGATGCTTTAAGAGTCCCTCACTAGATTCACTAAAAGCAACAACATTTCATCCAACGTTTCCAAAATTATGTCCACATTTGGTCAAATGTACAGAATTTATAATGGGGTTTTTTACCATTTTTAATAGTATTGAGACTAAATCTAATGTCACAGTGGGTCTCCTGTAAGTTACGACAACAAATACAAGGTGTTAATGAAAAAAAGATGTATTTGGCTAAGTACAAGATTTTTAAGTCAAGTGGTACAAACTAAATCTCAGTGAGTTTGAGGGAAAGTTATGTAAGCAACCTCAGCTTAGTGAAAGTTCAACTGAAATGAGACACGTTCAGTGTGTCCAAGAAACTGATTCAATATAACCTGACCTTGATTTCCTCACTTGGCATTCACTTTAGTTAAAGAAATAATATCAACATTGAATAGCACCGAGTAACTAGCAATAAAGTTTCTCTACAGAAAGGTATCTGCTACTCCAGTTTAGCGTCCATCTGCACAACGGATGTATGCTTAGATACAAATATTTCGAAATACATTTTATGTATCAAAAGAGAGAAGCTTTTAAGTGGAAAGGAGAAAGGGAAAAGGAGTTTCTAAACAGAACTCTCACCTAGGCATTCTACAGGTACCAGAACAGAAAATAACTGCTACTGAAATAACTCATATGACTCATGTCACACCCTAGACAAGAACTAATCCAACACCTTCGAGGCCTTTTTTACCTTGGAAGAAGGATTTACTCCTCAGCAAAGATACAGCTAATGCTAGCAGAATCACTTCCATTTGGCTAACGTAGATCCATTCCCCAGACTGAGTTAAGACAAAGTCCTCTGGCCAGTAAACCCTTGCCCGTGGAGGGGGGCTCCGCTGGCCGCACTCGCTTGATGCTGAGCACGAGTCTGGTTCAGGCCAGCCACCTGCATGGACCTGAGCACCTGAACCCTCATCCCTCCTCAGTCCCTTTTCAATGGCCACAAAGTGCAAACGGAGACACAAAGGCACCATCTGGGTCAACAGAAAGCCATCCCATTTTAAGGACAAAGTACTTTTCTCAACTATTTTGTTTTTGCTTGTGGAAAATAAAAAGCTTTATGACAATAAAGGGTACACACAACTTGCAACCCAGATCAATAACATGTAGTTCCGGCTGTCATGAGCCTGACAGCAATTAGCAATTGGTGTGTAATACTGAAGATAACCAATAGCGTGAGCAGGCAAGACATCTAGATTTTTTTCATTTAAGTGGCCTCATTCATAAGGAACAGCAATCACAGTCTTAAAGCAAGCCTTTGCAATCTGCAGTGTTTGCTGGAGGTTTAAAATATCACATACAAATAAAAGCAAGTTTTCCTGAAGTAGTCCATTAGCAACAAGCAATACCTAGGTCAGGAGATTAAAAACTTTCTATCACACATACTGTTAATAACAGTCACCTTTACACCCAGTAAAATTCAAAATAATCCAATCCAAATAAAGGGGCTGAAGACTGAACACATTTGATCTGCATTAGCTGCACACATGAACAAGGCGCTGACGTGCACCACAAGAAAGCCCCCTACCCACAGGGATCTAGGGAGGGGGACAGCAGACGGATTAAACCTCATACTCCAAAGCGGGACAAAAGCAGGTTGGCTGGGGTGAAAGGAAGCTGTAATCCCCCGCTGGCCTTACGTGGCATGGGAAGCTGAGCCGAGGGGCACAAGGAGATGGGGATGAGATTAAACAGTGCGGAAGAAAAGTGTTTCAAAATGCATATTAAAAAAAAATAAAGGAAGTCACCTCGATAGTAGCAGATCTAGGAGTGAGATTTACCTCCCACATGAAACCACCGGAAAAATGCAGAGTAATCTAAGAGGATGCATGCACATGTGTGCATCCAGAGACAGACACGCACTCCTATACACACGCACACCCCAAGCACAGGGAGCGCATTTGCAGAGTTGCCGTGGTCCCAGTGCAAACCAGCAGGTCAGGACTCCAGGCAACAGCAGCG